GTCTTTTTCACAATATTATCTTGTGTTTGTAGGTTAATTAATGGTTATCACCTTCCACTGTAAAAATGTAAGTATTAGATCTATAGATTTTAAATGTGTATTTTTATGTTTATATTTAAAATAAAGCTACAAATACAAACTCTTTTCATTTACTTTGCTAATATTTTATCTTATAAATTCTATTTTTAAAGTTTTGTTTTCAGATTAACAACTATATTTCACATTTTTACATGTACATAGTTTCCAGATCTGAAAATTATCTGATATAGTAGACTTGTAATGAAGTCTACAAAACTAGAAGTGACTTTTTTTTATGTATAATGTTTTTCTCATAATTTTATCTTTATTTTGTTAATATTTTCTTCCATGGTTTTTATCTAATTTTCCTAAAAATGAAAGATTCACATTTTCAAATATATAAATTTTTCAGATCTAAAAATTATCTAATATATAATAGAATTCTAATGAAGTCTACAAGGTTATGACTTTAATTGTTTGTTTTATGGTTTTCATAGTTTCATCTTTATTTTGAAGGTATTTTCTTCCATGGTTTTTTTCTCTTCCACAAAAAAATTGTAAGATTCACATCTATAATGTGTGTTTTTCTTTTTATATGTAAATAAAGTTACAAACTCTATGTCTATAATTTACTACTAATTTATTTTAAAAATTCTATTTTCTAAACTTTTTAGATTTAAATTTATTTTCATGTTTGTAATGTATATATTTTTCAGATCTAAAATATTTCGGATAGAGTATACTACAAATGAAGTTTATTAACTTTAACTTTTAAACAGAGTTCATTAGAAGTCTACTCAAATATGATTTTAATTTTTTTGTCTTCTATTTTTTCATAATTATATTTTATTTTGCAGGTATTCTCTTCCAAAGTTTTCAAATCACCTTCCAAAAAATGTAAGATTTACATATATTCATTTAAATTTTTATTTTTTTTGTTTATATAAAACTAAATTATTGTTACTCATAATTTTATCTTATTTTTCAGGTACTCTTTTCCAAGATTTCATATGATATATCAAAATTATAATAATCAAACACTCTAGAGTTTTTAAAAAATTGCTTTGTAATAATTTATCTTTACAAAATATTCATTTGTAAATAAATATTTTGATACATAATCAATAAACATTGTATTAATTTTTTAACTGTGTTGCACTTGTATGATATTAATAGTTTTTGTTAGCAATTAGTTTTTCAGAAAATACTCTAGTCAGCCAAACAGATAAAAGCCACCATAAGCTAAAACAACAACTAATACACACAATAATGAATGTATTAAAATTATGTAATCTGAAGAATTGTTTTATAGCAATTTTAGAGATTTTGAACACGAATGAGACTAATAATACAAATTAATACAACTCCAATAGCAATAAAAGAAAGTAGACTTTAGTGTTTGTCTACTTTCCTACCTATAGACTAATAAAGAAGTTTGCTTTTGTTTAACACTTCATAACAATACCAAAGAAGCCTACAAATTAAACATAGGTTTATACACAACAACAGGTAACTGAACCATTTTCTGTGAAAAAAATGAAATTTTACATAGTTAGCGATCATGTTTATAAAACTATAAAATAGACTTACCAATACGTCTACGATTATTAGCTAACTACATGATCAAATCAAAAGGATCATAATTTCATAAATTTAACATATTTTCTTTTAAAAATCACTCAATCATATTAGGATTAACTAAAACACACTGTCAAACAAAAAAAAATCTTGAAAAAACTTAATGAATAATACACAAATTTACTTTTAATGTATTTTCAAATGTAGACTCCATAAGCAGTCTGCGTAAATGTAGACTTTCGTTACAGTTTACACATGTAGACTCCATATGCAGTCTTTTATTTAGGTTAGTTTTTGTAATTGAAAATTTTACTGGTTACTTTCTATATTTGAAAAAAAAAATGTGATTTTATACGTGTAGACTTCCATTTTAGTCTATATATCAAAAAGGTTAGTTTTTTCAATTGATCAAAAATCACCCAAGATTTGACTTACAGAAGAAGTAGACTTTAGCAGCAGTCAACATGTTTGAATTTTTTTGACAGAGGTTAATTTTGCAATTGACCAACTTTGACTTTCTATTAGTAAATGGAAACAAATGTCTACATACATGTTGACTTCATATGAAGTCTACCCTCAAATACGGGGGGGGGGGTTAGTTTTGCATTTGACCAAAATAAAATAGTAGACTTCATGTGATGTCTATCATTTTTTTGAAAAATTAGTATAGTGTAATTAAAGTCTACACTTTTTTGGTCAATTTTTTAGCATTTTAGTCAAATACAAAACTAACATATTCAACGAAGTCAAATTTGGGTCAAATACAAAACAGACTTTTTTGTAAACTTCTCCGGAAGTCTACAATCTGTAGAGTTCTAACAAAGTCTACATTGAAAAGTCAAAAGTTTGGTCACATGCAAAACTAACCTCTTTTACATAGATTTCTTTGTAAGTCTACCTCATTTTTTTGTTTTTGTTATCAAAGGTAATGACGTAGACTTCCAGAGAAGTTTAATTTGCATAAACAATTATTCTGGTCAATTGCAAAATTAACATATTCGTTGATAAGTAGACTGCATCGTAAGCCTACAAGTAAACGTAGACATACGATATAGTCTACTATCGCGACACATGTTTGAAAAATGATGAAAACCATGTAAATATGTACATTTTCTGGTGTAAAGCTCGTTTCCACCCTTTTCCACCGTCCACGCTCCAAATATGAAGAAAAAGAAGCAGCTTAGCCGACCAACAACAGAGTACACTCGAAATAATGAAGTTATGCTTATGAAATGAAAGTTATGAGAGTTTTTAGATGAAAATATAGAGGAAGTGAGAAGAAGTGGAGATTTGTTGGTTTAGAATGAGAAAAAAGTGGTTGAAAATTGAATTTGAGAGGTTTAAAGAGCTTAAAAATGGTGGTTCATGGTGGTTGAAAATTGATGACGATTGCATTGTTGTAAATAAGAAGAAACATTTATGGTGTAATTGGTTTTTGTAATTTTCGAAATAATTACAGAAAAACTAATAATAATGGTAATTCAATAAATATTTTAAAAACATAACGATGGTTTAGAAATTTCATGGATGAATAGTAATGACAAAAAAAAATGTTGGTTTTGCAATTGACTTCAAAATGTGAGTTGGTTTTGTTAAACACCCTAATAACTAACTGTATGAAATGATTCGCATTCTTCCACAAGGTGATAAAAAGTAAGCAGTATCAGTATTTATATATGCTGATAATTTTCATTATTTTCCTTCAAAGCTTCTCTTTGTCTATATAGGTGAATCAACTTTTTAATGATGAATTATTAGTTATAAACTCCCTGATGATTTTCACATATTTTGTCATTTGATTGTCTTCAAAAACTGGAAACGTTTCCTCAAGGATTCTGATCCGTTCTTCAAACACTTGTCGTAAGTTTGAGATGTCGAAATCAAAGACATGATATTTTTTTGATTGTTAAATCTTCGGAGGAATAAAGCCAACACATATAGTATTGGATCAGTGTTGGAAATATATCTTCATAAAGGGAAAGAAAAATAACAGTACCTGAAATTGAACGTCGGAATCATTATTGTTTGATGTTATTAGAAAGTGAAAATCTAATTACATTATTGTTCAAATAAAAGATTGAAAAAAAAATTAAAAGTAAGCCTATACGGATTGAACCTTGGATTTGTTGGTCACTCTAAATAGCTCGGAAGTCGGAACCATAAAATCTTTTATAATAGACACTTTACCTCAGAAAAATTTCTCTTGAAAGCCATAATTAACGCACATTGAATATGAAGGTCGGAAATCCAACAGAAACTAAAAACCTCTTACAAATATGTGTGAAAAAATTTTAATTGAATGAGGATGAAGAGTTTGAATTTGTTATCTCGGTGCCACAACCCAACATCTTTACCATTATGCTATAGAGAACTATGATGAAATGAAGACTGATAAATTATATAGTTTACTATTCGGCCTGAAGGTCAAGCTTCCTTCGCTTGGTATTAGGGCCGACAGACACTCTGCACGTGAATGGCAAGCACAAGATATAATTCCAATTCCTCAAGTGTCTGCACCACAGCAGCAAGAGTATCCCCAGTTCCACCAGACACATTTATCATCAACATAAATGCAGTTTAGAAGAAAGAAATTAGCGCAGAGAGACTGGCTTGGATCTACTCAGACACCTCAAGCAACTTCATCTCTGAAGGATCTAGCACACATGACTTGCTCGCTAAGAGAGTCTTGTATTCTTATTACTCTGCTTTGTAAAATCTGTTTAATGGTTCAATCAATTAGCCGTTTAAAAGAATAACCTACGTTGGAGCTGACGTTGGCCCAAAGTTATTGCAAAAAGGTAGTTTTATACAGAGAATTACTTTTGGATAATTGTGAGAGGCGAAGCGGTTTCCAAGATGTTTTAGGATTTAGTCATATAAGAATTTATTAATATGTGCTTTTCATCTACTCCCTCCGTTTCAAAAAGATTAACATTCTAGAAAAAATAATATTTATTTCAAAAATGTATATCTTACATTTTCAATACATAATTTAATGAAAAATTATAGATTTTTAAAAAAGTTAATAGTGTTTATTAAAATTCTAGTGGTTAAAAAATATAGGGATTTGTTATCTATAATAAATGATGTACTGGTAGTCAAAATTTTATGTTTTTTCTTAATATGTGTGAAAAAGGTAAAACATTTAACTTTTTTGAAACAGAGGGAGTATGATATAAATAATGGGGAAATTTGTGGAAAGTTATCATAATTTTATATTAATTTTTTTTAATAGGAAATAATTTTATATAGATATTAAAGTGATAGCAACAAATTAAACAAAAAAAGAGTAAAGAGAAAAAAAAATAGATAGTTCGCCCTCATTTATCGCTCTTCTCTCTCATCTTCTAAAAGTCTCCTCCGCCGTTTTCGTGTTTTTTGATCAACATCCAATAACTTTTAAACTTTGGTGCGTTGTGCCTCTTTAGTTTTCTTCTGTCTTTTTATGTCTTTCTTTTTAGATATATATTTTTGATGGGTTTCACCCTCTCTCTCTCTTAGTGTTTGTTGGTTGTATCTTTCAAATTGATTTTAACAAAGAGTTTTATGGACAAATCTGTTTCTTATTTATGGTTTCTTTCAAATATTTTGTCAATTTTCGGTGTTCTGGTATTGTAGGCTTTGTATCTCGCTGATTTAAACTTGGGGATCCTTTTGTTCCATGGATCTATTTAGAGTGATGCCGTTGTGATTGTGCATGCCTAGTTAAGTTATATGGACTTCCAACCAAAATTAAATTAGTGATAAGTGGATTTTCTCATCTAGCTTATATATTAATTAGGATTCATTCCACCTATCGATGTGAGAGATTTAGAGATGGGCTCGCGTCTTTGGTACTGGCCATCTTCATTAGTTTGGTGCTCCAGTTTTGGTGTTCAGATCTATTGCTATCGTCCTCTCCTTCTTCGGTTAGTTCTTGATTCTTTTCTAGACTAGTATTTAGGATTCTTTCTCTATCTTCCCTCATTAATAGATTGGACGAGGATATTTCTCTTATTTAGCATATTTTTAGGTCCATTTAAACTGACTGTCTGAGGTTTGTTCTAAATTCCTTTCTTGTGATTGTGTCTCAGCATTGTATTGATCAATGTTGTTTTTGTAACTTGTAATTTTCTTTTGTATGGGGCTATGTTTTCTGAGTGTTTAGGAATTGAACTCGGAAACTCACCAGCTCCTTTTATTCCACCATTGCATCTTGTATTCCCCTTAGTATTTCATAATGAGTGAGTGATGTTCTATGTGGTTGTGGCTGCATTTGGGGTTAGTCTACGGCTGCATCATATTAATAAATTGTTGTTTGTTTTGTAGACGTAGCCGTGAAATTTTACGGCGTTAAACGCAAGATTTGGTGCCAGGCACGGTGATGATGCAGATACCTACATCAGTCAAACGAATAAAATTTTTGGGAAAAAATTGCCGCAGCCACAGACACATATATTTGCGGCAGCCAAACAAACAGTACTAGTAACAAAAAAAAAGTGATGGAATAACCCCTCAAAATGTAAGGAATCTTGCAACGTCTGATGAGAAGTGAAGATGACATTCCACGTAAGTTGTTATTACCGGACAAAAGAGATTGATCAAAAACCGGACCGTGATTTGCTTCCTTTTTCGTCCTTCTATAGTGTCAACAAAACCGGACTAAAAACACACACACACATATATATATATATATATATATGTATATGTTTGCTTTCTCAGGAACAGAGATTATTATGAGATGCCACCACGGCAGAGAAATCAGAAATCGAAATCTAGGGTTCCTACAATGACGGCGCCTGAATCAATCGCCTTAGCGATTAACCAAATCGACGAGAAGAAGCAAAAGCTAAAGAAAGCCTTCGACGACCTTCAAGCTCACCGATCTCTCCTCTCCCCATCTCTGAACCTCTCCTGGTCCGACATCGACACGCACTTCACCTCTCTCCAGTCTTCACTCTGTAACCGCTTCCGCCTCCTCCAATCCAACAAAACCGAACCACCCCCCGAGAATACAACAGAGACACCGCTCCTCTGGCCGGAATTAAAAACGTTCTGCGAGAACATGGACGGAAAAGGCTTGGGGAAGTTCATGGTTGATAACTCGAAGAAGCGTTTATCCATCAACCCGGAGCTCGCACAAGCGGTTCGATCCGCATCGAATCCAGCAGCTTTGGTTCTTGACGCGATCGAAGGCTCTTACCATTGTTCTCCTTCGTCTTCGCCCAGAGCCATCGATGCGAGAAGAGTGTTCGTTTTGTTGTTGGAAGCTTTGCTTGAGATCAAACCGAATCTCACGAACGAGTTGAGAGAGAGAGCGAGGACGCTTGCTTCTGATTGGAGATCGAATATAGGTACCAAACCATCAGAAGCGTTAGGGTTTCTTCACTTGGTCGTAGTCTTTGATTTAGGTTCTGTCTTCAAGATGGAGGACCTTCTTGATTACGTTTTCTTGATTTCCAAGTACAAACAAGCTACGACTTTATCTAAGAAGCTTGGTTTAGATAAGACCAGAGTGGCTGGTCTTGTTCAGAAGCTTTTGCATACTGGGAGGTTACTTCCCGCGATTACTTTTATTTATGACTTTGAGATGACTGATAGGTTCCGACCAGTTAATGTTTTGAAAAATAGTTTGTTCAACTCTAGAGAAGCTGCTAAGAGGGTTTGCGCCGAAGGGGGGAACACTCTCAAGGCGCAGAACGAAGCTACTGATAAAGAGCTTAGTGCGTTGAGACTGGTGATCAAAGTGGTTAAGGAGAGGAACCTCGAATTTGAGTTTTTTGAAGAGAATCTTGAAGAATGCGTTCAAGAGTTGGAGAATCTGAGAGCTCAGAGGAGGCAAGCCCCTAAGCTCGCTTCCCCTGCTAATCCCCAGAAACGACCTCGTGTCGCTACGGGTAACAATTTGACTACCCGGACACAGAGTCAGCAACCGCCGCTTTTGCCTGATCCTAGGCACAATTTACAAGTGAATCCATTTGGTTTTGTGAACTCAACAGTGCCTCCTGGTCTTAATGTTCCATATGGGAACCCATTGGCTCCATATGGATCGGTTCCAGCTCCAGCTCCAGCTCCAGCTCCAGCTATAGCGTCTCGACCTGTCTACTATGAACAGCAGGCTGGATATGGGTTACGACCTCAATACCGACCACCTTACTTTCCTCAGTAGCGATGTTTAAATATGAGACGATTTTCTGGTCTAAGGAGGTAGGCTCTATGTGTGTATGATGTTCTGTATTTGACACAACGTAAATTATCTTAAAGTTTTACAGATAAGATACTTGATATGATTGCTGTTCTTGCGATGGTATAAAAGAAAATTAATCATCTGTTGTACGTCTTGTTGTAGCAGAAAACAACCCATTTTTTTTATTAGACAAAAAATTAAAATTACTTCCAAATTTCTGTTCTAGTCATTTTAATCTTCAATATTTTAGAATTGCCTATTTTCAAACTTTAATCTTTCTAAAATGGTTTTGTGAACGAAAATTGAGATTTAAAATAGATAATTTAAATAAATTAGAGATTAAAATGGTTTATACAAAAATTTATGTTTTTGTTTTGTTTTGAAAGATCTGATTTTTTAACAATTTTCTTTCTCTAAATTGAAAAAAAGATCTTTATTGTAATAAATATTAATTTATTTATTTTTGTGTAAGTTGAGGAATTTTTTCGGCAGTTTTATCTTTGTTGTATTATACTAATCTCATGTTTATCGGTTAGTTTGTGAAGGAAATGTTCTTGATAGATTGATCTTACATTTATAACCTTTGAATGATATCAAAGTTGATAAAAGATGCTGTCTTTTTTATGATAGAAATTGGTTGATAATTAACTGTTTTTGCGATGATTTAAAAGAAATGAATCATCTTTTGTACGTCTTGTTATAGTTTATTGATCTTTTGTTTATTAGTTTAGCATGTATAGGTGAGCCACGTGGTGACATCCTAATAGTGTCCTTGCTCGTTTCGGTTTCTAATCTAGGCAATTTCGTTGGGGTTAGGATGGAATGATCTTGATGGATTGATCTTACAATTCTAAATTTCTAATATTTGATTTGGTAGATAACCTGCCATGATTTCCTTCATTTTTTTCTTATCTAGCAAGATTTTCTTTCTTAGTGTGTTTTGATTATAGGACAAAAGAGTTTATGCAGTAGATATTTTGGTTTCATTTTTTTTTTGTTTACATGATACCTACAATAGTTGAATTTATAAAAAATAATTCACTTAAAAATAATAAGTGGGTAAACAAAAAAAAAGATGCACCAAAGACTAGTTGATGATGAATGAGAATGACCCATGATGATTCAGTGGGAGAGGAACATGTTCGTTGAGAAAAGAAACACAGAACATGTGCTTTCCCCATACCCACTTTGATGGGTCGAAAGACAATCAGCGATAGAGTATCTCTATATTTATTCGTTTTTTTCTTACTGTTGATCTGATAATATGGGTATATATAATTGATATTTTACCAGTAATATATCAAAAATAAAATAAAGTTGTGGGCCTGAGAGTATCTTATTAGTATATATAAACACACGCGCGTTCTCGTCTTCTCCGTCACATATTGATTTTGTTTTTCCCTGCTTATCTGAATCTAATCATCATGGGTTTGAAGGTATGATCGTATCCCTATCTCTCCATTTCGGTCAATGTTCGGATCTAGTGATTGTTTTGGGGTTTCTGTTTATAAGCGGATGTACTGGTTCGTATGTGATCAGACAAGTTTTGTGATAGATCTCACCGGTTGGGTTTATAGACAAGTTCGAATCCTCGAGTTTTCGTTTGGATTATAGCTTTTGCTGTGTAATTCATTTTACGGTCTCTTTGCAATTACTGTATTCCATGGAGAATTAGAGTATGTTTGATGGTGTTATAGGCATTTAAAGATTGTTTATTTTGATGTATGTATGTATGTATGTATCTGCAGGAGGACTTCGAGGAGCACGCTGAGAAAGTCAGGACGCTCACCACGAGCCCATCTAACGAGGACTTGCTCATCCTCTACGGTCTCTTCAAGCAAGCCACCGTCGGTCCAGTCAACACCAGTTAAGATTACGTTCCTTCCGTTTTCTCTCTAAGAAGCTTCATGTTATGACCTGCGGTTTGCTTTTTGGTGTATGTAACTAAGGTTTTTTTGTGTGTTCTTGTTGATTCGTAGGCCGTCCTGGAATGTTCAGCATGAAGGAAAGAGCCAAGTGGGATGCTTGGAAGGCCGTTGAAGGTAAATCACTTCATATCGTCGCCGCTACTTATTTGATTATAACCAAATGTAGATTTTACGATTCTTGTCGGAGCTTTCAACACTTTTGTCTTGCTTTTGGTTTTGGATGTCAGCGAAATCGACGGATGAGGCCATGAGTGACTACATCACTAAGGTGAAGCAACTCCTGGAAGCAGATTCTTCCGCCGCTTCAACTTGATGAATATAATATGATTCACCAAATGCCCCACTGCAATAACTCCACCTAAACTCCAAATAATTTAGCATAAGACTTTGTTCTTGTTGCTTCTTCTGTTGCCATCGTTATGAATCTATTATTTACTTTTGTGACCTTCGTCTTGATTTTTAAAAAGAACCCATGGTTTCGGCTCTCCCTCTTAATATTGGTCTAAACGAAGATTCCTGATGCCAAATTAAAATCATTATCTGTGTGTGATATTATCTTATTGATTTGAAGATGAAGCTTATACGTTCGTTACGATCCATACCATATACACCATGATCATGGTCAATCGTATTCAAAAGAAAACAATTATGAAAAATGCTGGAATTAAGGCAAACTGAAAAGATGGAACGGGGAACTCCTACTCAACAGAGCTAAAGTCAGTATTGCCTATTGCTGATGGTGCTCAAACTTCTATCTGATAACTGGTTACCTATATTCCACCAAGAATGCCGAAGCTTTTACCATACACAAAATCCACATCTCCGGATTCAAACTTTAATTGATACTACTACTAAGTTACTAACCACTTTGTGATTGATAGAACTTTAATATATAAACTGCAGAGAACTGAATATTGTAAAAAGTAAAATGATAAAATTATACCAAAAATTAAAAAAGGATGATACAATAGCAGAATCGAATATTCTCTCTTTTCTTAATCCAAAATACGTCTCGTAGTGCGACAATATGATCTCTTGAAGGATATGCCCAATCGTATTTGGCTGGAAATTGGAAAGTTTGGGCGCTGGAATGTAATGGATCTCAGAATATAACCGCAAAAAAATTTCTAATTTACGTCACTCTATTAGAAATATCTAACAAAACTAATTTTGTGATGTACTCTCGGACTCAAAAAGAAAAAATCTTTCTATTCAACATGGGATATTTTTTTTTTTTTTTATTTTTATTTTCACGTGTATCTGTGCATGTTTTCTAAATGGCTCACAAGCCTTTATATAGAAAATACAAACATCACATATGATTTTCAAAAGTCATAACGTAAAGAGCAATGTCATTCAAGTCAAAAAATCAATATTGTCAGTAAGGAGATATGATTCCTATATTGACCCAATTTTATGACTTAAAAATAAAAAATATATAATATGTATTTGACCAAATCAAACATAAATAATATTCCTTGTAATTTGGGTTTGCATTTTATGTTTATACAAACATAAAGATAGCCATGAATAAAAATTTTATGAATAAGTAATGGACATCATATCCAACTAACAAATTCAAATTCAAATTCAAACCCAAATATCCAATATGTGACATTTGCAAAAAAAATTCTATTTAGCCAAACTCATTTGGACTTTCATTTCTCATTCAAAACTAACTCTAATTTTGATATACGAGTATACTATTTCATAGTGTTAAACATTTGGTTATTCCGACAAACGTCTTCGGACAGTGATCTTATTGAACTTACAAAGATCTATTTATCCTTTTTAAACCTGAAGAAAAGCGTATATGGCCTCACACAGGGGATGGGAATTTCACGGCTTGATCAGTTTACCATTTTGCCATGGATAATGATATGATCCTCAATAATTATCTCAACCTCCCTGAGCTCCACATTCAGACATTTCCAAATACATTTGAAAAACATACGCAATGCCAAAACTAAAACGTTTCATGTGGCGGTTTTTATTAGGGACCCTACTACTAAAACTAAGTTCCTCAAACGTAGGAACCTTGTAGATCCTTGTTGTGTTCGATGTTGTATTGAAGAAGAAACCACCAACCATCTCTTTTTTCATGTGTCTTTTTGCTCCGGAGGTGTGGAGATTGACTGGTCTTAATTCAACTTGTCTTTTGGGCGCATGAATATTTCAAGAAGAGAAAATGCAACACATTATACAGATTCACATGGATGCAAGTTTGGATAGGGAAACACGTTGTAAACGTATATGGATTCTCTAATGGAAATACCAGAATCTACTTCAATACAATAGAGAAGCACTGCATGTTTATACTCAGATCATGGCGCACATACGTGAATGGATAACTTTAAATAAAAAGTTGACTCAAGTGGTTCAAATACTTTAAATATGCCAAATTTAAATACAATATAAGAATACTAGGGCCGCCTGCCCTACGGACGGGATAAAAATTAACAAATAATTTAAGTAGTTAAAATAAATATTTAATATAAACTGTTATTATTTGAAAATATATATATTAGTTAAATTTCATGCATGTTATTGTATTGAAAGACTAAATAAAACATGTTATCTGAAAAATTGGTTATGTTTTAAAAAAATAAATATTACTTGTTACTTTTAAAAATATAATTTTTTTTCCTTGAGTAGTCTATGTTTTAATTATATTTAAGAATTGGAAGTGGCGTTATATCATTTCTTGTGATTTTCTGGAGTTAGATGACCATAACAAACCTCTGAAATTCCTTTTTTTTCCTTTTTGTTAGTAGAAAAGAAACAAATTTGTAAATAAATGCACATATTTTTTGTTAAATTTTATATACTGTAGTGGATTATCTTATGTTATTACTAAATTTCGTTTTTACAATAGATTATTATTGAAATTGTGTTTGAGTGAAAAATGTATAATTATTTATGTAATATTATATATCTAATTAATATATTTTACCAAGATAATAAAAATATACATAATTGCTATAACTTTTTATATTTATAAAGATATTTGAAAATTAATTTAACCTTTTTTAATATAAATTATTATAGTTTTTGAAATAAAATGTTACTGATTAGTTGAAAAAAACTGCTACTGGTTTAGTTTTAATAATATAATTTTAATTTCTTAAAGGTCATTGTTTTGATTATAAATTTACTAATTTTTACGATAGAATATTATTGAAATCTTATTTGAGGTAAAATTTATAATTAATTATACTATTAGTTATGTACTATTAGATATTTTATTAATATATTTCACACAAATAATAAAATTAATATTCATTTGTTACTTGAATTTGTTTTATTCATTATATTTGAAAATCAAGTAAACTATGTTATCTAAATAAACGATTTTGATTTTCAAAATAAATGTTATTGATTCATTTTCCTGATAAAAAAAATTATTTCTGAAAAATTACTGTTTTAATTATAAGTTAATTTGTGGATGTACTTTTTCATAATTTTGTTAAATTTTATGGAAAATTGCCTAATTTTTGTTTGCTTGATCATTGAGTGATGGTACATGAAAAAAAAATGTACTTCACTTTTGTTCTTATTGTTTTTCTTTATTTTTGTGAAAATATTATTTTGTTCTCTAATTTCATAATGTTGTGAATTATATTATGTGTTTTAAGGGGTTTTTGCAAAACCAACCTAAAATTTCAAGTCAAACACAAAACCAACCTCTTTTTTTTGTCCATTACTATTCACTCTTAAAAAACCTAAACTCTCCTCATGTTTCCACTTATTTACCAAATTGCCATTATTTTTAAATCTGATTTTATTTTCGAAAATTATTAAAAACCTATTACACCCTAAACCACCATTGTCATCAATATTTGCAACCACCCAAAACCACCATTGATGAGCTCTTTAAGCTTGTGTTTATGAAATTTCAACCACTTATTTCACTTTCTAAACAAACAATACTTCATTTCCTCTCATTTCCTCTCTATTTTCATCTAAACAATCCTCATAACTCTCATTTTCATAAACACAAACTTCATAATTTCGATTTTATNTTCCTCTCATTTCCTCTCTATTTTCATCTAAACAATCCTCATAACTCTCATTTTCATAAACACAAACTTCATAATTTCGATTTTATCCACAAGTGGATCGTAAAGGTTGCTTCTTTTGCTCATATTTGGATTCTGGATGGTGGAAAAGCTTGGAAACAAGCTTTAAACCGGTGTCAAGGTAACTCTTTACATGCTTTTCATCATATCTCTTATCTGTATCGCGAAAGTAGACTGTATTATATGTCTACTCATACGTGTAGACTTACGATGCAGTCTACTTGTCAACGCACATGTTACTTTTGCAATTGACCAAAATAATTTTTTTTGTAATGTAGACCTACAAGTACGTCAACATCTTTACCTTTGAAACCAAAAACAAAAAAATTGGTAGACTTACTAAGAAATCTACATAAAACATGTTAGATTTGCATTTGACCAAAATTTTGACTTACCATAGTAGACTTTCGTGGATGTCTACACTTTGTAGACTGCTAGGTAAGTCTACGGAAGGTCAGTTTTGCATTTGACCAAAACTTTGACTTCGTTGAATAGGTTTCTTTTGTATTTGACTAAAACTTACTTTACGTGTAGACTTCATATGCAGTCTACAGAACTTAGAAAAAAAACGTAGACTGCATAAGAAGTCTACTATTTTGTTTTGGTCAATTGCAAAACTAACCTGTCGGGATATAGTGTAGACTTTTACTGCAGTCTACAGTTACATAGACATTTAGTTCTGTCTACTCGTAGAAAGTCAACTTTGGTCAATTGCAAAACTAACCTCTTTCAAATAAATTTAAAAGTGTAGACTGCATAATAGGTCTACTTCTAAAAGTCAAATTCTGATCGAATTCTGGTCAATTGCAAAACCAACCTTTTAAAAAATGTAGACTGAAAAGTAAGTCTACTCGTATAAAATCCT